GAAAGAGGTGTGGGAGAAAAAGGAAGCGATGGGGGTATGGATGTTGTGCAACCGGTCATGCATTTGTTTTATATTACTTGTGCTTGGAGGGCTCACTAACACCAAAACAAGATCTGTCAGGTGAAATAGAAAACAATGAATGCAAATTCATGCTTTCAATGTGTGGTCCTGAGAAACTGAAAATAACAGTCTGTTGTTAATTAAGCTCAACAAGGTGAATATGAATAACATTATGTTTTCGGATTCGAGAAATGATTTGATAATGTATTCTATTTCATACTTCGAATTCGAAAAACGGAATTAAAAATCACCCAGCACATTTCAGACAACACGGGTACGAATCCAGGATAATCTATAGATATAAACAAAATATAATAGTAAATATCTTAACACGATGCTCAATAAATATTTTATTTTCGAAATAGGTATATCAATATAATGCAATAATACTATTGAGAACTTACGACACACGATAAATAGAGCTTATCAAAATAGGGTGTCTCTCCAAATCTCTATCAGGGGAGGAAGAAATCGTGTATTTGAATCTACAGCGGCGAGAACAAAACATCACTAGGAGAAAAGGACGGCTTTAGGAGATACGTTTCAGATTTCAAGTTCGAATGAGAAATGTAGTGGTTGAAAACTAATGCATCTTCTCTAAGCACATACATATCTCTGTTCTACTAAAAACCCTGCTTCTACTTACGAATTTTACAAGACAACCAAATGTCCAAATGCACGAAATAATGTTGAACAGAGTAATTTTATTACACCAGGTGATCTTCACATTCGTGGAGGGGCTCTCTTCGCCCTTGGTTTGCTTTTCCTGTACCTGCTTTCATTTCCTCGTTTTCCACTCTGAGTTTAATTTCTCTATTGTCCTAATATATCTGTGGTTCTTCACTGCATCAACTACTTTTCGTCCTTCGCCCTTCTCTCACTCCCGACCCAAACCTTCGACCTTCTTTGCAAAGTCGCAGTCGTAAGCTGTCGCCTGCGTTGTAGGTCTCCGGGCTGCCATTGCACCCAGCTGTCGGATTTCCCCTGCCAGCGCGGCGCCCGCGGCCGAAGATAAGACGCAGGGCCGGTTGCCATGGCGACGCCAGCCGCCGCCCGAGCAGCCGTAATGAGCTTGCGATTGGCCGCGGCCACGTCATCTGCATCTCTAAACGCACACGCGGCGGCGGAGGCGGCGGCGGCGCCAGGACCGCACTGGTGGCTGGGGCCGAAGCGTAAGAGAGCTATCTCAGATGAAAGCGCTGGTCGCAGGCGGGCGGGTGACGGAGGCAGCTTCATGGCAGATGACGAAGGCGGGACGGGGACTGGACTGGGGGTGGAGGAGGAGGCTGGGGCCGAGGCTTGAGACCGGTAGATGAAGGGGCGGGACTGACGGAAGCAGATTCGGGCAGAGGCGGGACGAGGGTGAGAGGGCGATAGTGAGAGCAAAGTAGGTGGAGGCACTGCAGAGGGACGCAAAGAAGCGGGGCTGAGTCGGACGGGAGACGGAGGCGGATTCGGGCCGGTGGCGGAAGCGTGGCGGAGACGGTACGCGGACGTGTCGTGAGCGGGGCGACATCAAGGGCAAAAACTGCGGAGGCATAAGAGAAGTAGGGAAGGTAGCGGGGCTGAGTCGGAGGGGAGATGGAGGTAGGTTAGGACAGGCGATGGAGGCGGGGATGGTAGTGAGAGCTAAGTTGGTGGAGGCAGAAGCATAAGAGAGGCTGATTGAACTGAATTAATACCTTATTTTACGTGGCGAGACTTAGGCCATGAGGCCTAACCGTCTGACTTCCGTCTTACCACGCAAATTTCGCTCCGCTCCTTTCACCAACTAGGAGAGAAAGGAGGTATTTCTTGGGCGAGAAATAGGCTATTTGAATTTAGCTCAAAGGCGTCATTTAGGCTTGAGGATCTTTTACATGCAAGTAAATATACTAACATGAGACAGCCGGCTTTACTTCCCCTCCGAAGGAAGGCGTACGAAGGAATTTTTCGCCATTAAAAATCCACGGCTTCGATCGGGTTTGAAACCACCAACTTGGGCACAACAATCAGATACGCTAACCGTTACACCATCGCCGCTGGTGGGAGTCTGATTCGGAGGCGAGACGGAGGCGTGGTATGGGAGGGCCAGGGTTTAGGACAGAGACGCTGCTGAGGGCAGTGGAGAAGGCAGTAAGCGAGGGTAGGAGGCAGACGCAGGGAGTCGGGGTTTGGGGTGAGGACAGTGATGAGGGTAAAAGGGGGTGAGGCGGATATCGAAACGATGTTGGATTCAGGCGGGAAGCGCTGTTGACGGTGAAAGCAGAGGATGGAGCGGGAACGAAGACGGAGGTGCTGGTTGCAGCGGGGAAGGGAGAGCACAGGTCGTGGGAAGGTGTGGACGAGGGAAGGGTGGACAAAAAGCACAGTGGAGGCAAAGGGTCTGATGCACTGCAGGCGGCAGAAGAGTCGCTGCAAGAACTACCGGAACTATCTAAAGGAGGCGATCCCACAGGAAATGAAGATGATAGATATTGTGGAATCTTTATCGAGATGAAGAGGGGTCAGGGGACTTCATCTAAAAACGATGAATGATGAAGTGAAGAGATGAAATATTTAATATAATAATATATAAGTGATGAAATAGTGGTGATATTCTTATTAATTCCTAATCCAATCGGGTGGCATTGTTGGGTATTAACACTTAGAAATGAATTTCGTGTATTTCACAAACATTGTGTAACGTGCTGAAGCCATTTTTCTAGTATTTACATGAATAATTCTGTGATTAAAATTTAGTCTATTGCAGTTTATTGAAAAGCGTAATAAAAATAAACAACGTGGACTATTTGAAATTCAGCATTAATGGCCAGTCCATGTACATTCGTTACATTAATGACCGAATTCACATGCTCACATATTCTCATCTCCTTTTCGACATGGTTCGTATAAGTTCTCCAAATATACTTTTTAGGAACGATATTGGAATAACGTAAGTCAAAATTGTAAAAGATATCCCTTAACTCTAAGTGCACGTACTGAACCAACACTTTCAGACATTAATAGCTGGCAGGCTGCAACAGTACATGTGGCAGGCGGAAGAATATATTTTGCATATTGAGCAAAACTTGTTTTAGAACGTGTCCAAAATACCCTCTACTGCCTGAACAGATCATAATGTAGTATGCCATAAATTTTCATACACTGAGCAACACTATAATAATACTTATACAAACAAAAACAAACTCAATGTATACAATACAGCTGTGTTGGTTTGTGTGCGTCTCTTATGGATGAGACTGTGCCAAACCCGAATTGACACCATTGTTTACACTTTGCCCCACAACGTGCACTACTGGCACATTTTTCATGGAGTAAACTCTCTCTCGCTCAGGATGTACTTTGCACATGGAGAGGCGTCGTACACCGTGGGCCTAAGGCCTGCCCCCTTATTCCCGTGCCCTTCTTCGGCGATCCCAAGGAGTTCTGGCCTCTTAGTGATTACTGTGGGCACTCAGGCGTTCAAGTTGAGTATTTTTATTTGTTTTAGGTTGTTTGCAGTTTATTATTAAAATTTAAAATAATAAACACAGTTATTGTAAAATTAAAATTTGTTGCCCACGAATTTTGTTTTAGAGATTATCAAACCAAATACATATTTTTGTCACATTTTACGGAACTTTTTTTTTCAAAACCATACAAAATGTTCGATTCTCTTTGAATGTTTGAATTTAGTTGCAAATAAAATTTTAAACATTATTTTTTAAAAAATTAGAAACATTCACATAAATAATCATTATTTTCGATGAAAATTCATACGTCCAATTCAATTTTAAAAAAGAAAATAAAAAACACATTTTTCGCTATTTCGAAGGATATGTTAGGGAAGAGTCTAAAAAGTCCATGACATTATTCGTAGTCACAATCCTTAGGAAATATTTACTTTTCTATTTCAAACGGGGGCACTTTTTACCATTTTATCCGACTGAAGCCTTTGTCACAAAATATTTAGGACCATTTGTAGTAAACTCTACTACCGCTTATTTGCGTATATCAAAGCCGGAACTTTGATATACGCAAACTCCAGACTTATAATACACATCTTCTCCGGGGTTGACTCATAATTGTTAACTGCAGTTGTAGAAATTGAGCACTGTGGTCCCTTCAAAACCCATATCATACACTTGCTAATACAGCCAGCAACATATTCGGTCCCAATGTTTTCAGGTCTTGCCATGTCCTCCTCCGTCAGAGCTGAGGCCTCCCCTGCGTCGTCTAGATTGTGCAGAACTATTGAAAAAGTGTCATCATCGGGGGTAGCTATAGTTTGAGGTTGATCATTGTCGGGTTCCCCCTCCACAGAGTCTTCCTCATCCTGTAACTGACAAGCCGTCCGTGAAGTCAAATAACGCCGAATACCTAATTTGTCATCTTCACAATTCTAATTACAGATTCAGGCATTCTAATTATACGATATTATCTGTAATTACTGTTCTTAAAACAGCAATGATATGGCTACAAGTAGGATTATCATAAGTCATGCCATTCTGTCTGATAACGACAAACAAATTCTTCACTGGGTCTTGGTTTAGCCACCTTAAATGCAAGCATTCGAGGATTCCCTTAATGTCATTCCGTAGATATTCCAAGGCACAAAACGTGGTTATATTGGCACTTCGTAAATGGACTCGGCGCATACCCTTATGCCTTCTATCAAGCACCCCATTCTCAATGCTCTCTTCCCAGATACAAAACTTCATATTCCTGAGTTTATAGTGCATTTCTGCCCAAACAGTAGTGCGCCCAGACCATTCTCGCACCATATACCTTTTCTTTCTTCCCTTGCGTTCATTACTGTGCTCATCTCGCTTCTCTGAGCCATTAGAATAATCGAACACCGTATCGAATTCAAGAATGACATGTGCAGTAGTAAAACCATCAACCAACCACTGTTAGTGAACAGGTTTCTCCGAATCAAGAACTGCTTCAGTTCGTATATGCCCTGCACACTTCCGTCTCAAAACTTTGGCAGCAACTTCACTTTCCTATTGGGGTTCACACTATTTTTGGTAAAGGTTTGTACTTCAAAAGTTTCCAGTCAAGATTCCATAAACCAACTATGTTGTTTATGAAATCCACCGAGCAACTTTCCCATTCCATTCAATATTTGAAGCCTTTATAAAATGGTTGCCCAAACATTTTAAGAGATGGAGTACATTATACAATAGAAAAATCTTGTGGTCTCCCACAAAAAATAATTGTTGAAGGTCATTGCCTTCCATCGCATCTGAGAGCGTGAAGGTGGCTGTGCATCACCAAGAGTTTCACATTCGGGATTAGTGGTTTCGTACCTGCGGTGCAGTCATGAGGAAGGTTTGTCGCTCTATCTTCATTATTTATGCTTTCTTCCCTCTCCCCAGTCTGGCTGGCACGAATAAGATGATTCATTGCAGATTTATTTGTTGACCCTTGGTCACACAAGTGGCTTTAACAATGAAATCAATCTGTTGTTTCCTTATTATTTTTTGATAATTTTAGTAAGAACATCGGAGTATGCGTGGGAAGTGCTTGAAAAAAACACCAATTGGTTGTTTTATTGCCGATACATACCCTGAATCATTAAAGAGATTGATCTGCAATACTGTGCAATCGTCTCTGCTAACCATGATCAACAAAACCTTCAATCAGGTCCTTATTATTATATAAAAGATGTTTTTGAGAGACATCTCGTCAAACATCAAGGTACAATACTTATCCTGATCAATCCTAGATCTAGCTACACTTTGGATCATCTCAAGGACATGATCATCAATGCCAGTATCCATTGGAACTGGTTCAAGGACACACAACAACGTTCTCACAGAAGGCAGTGTCAGATAACAACAAAGAATCCGATACACACTAGACTAGTACTGTGTTTGAAGACAGATAAAGCCATAATCTTCTCCTGTTGTGTTCTCTGCCTAGCAGAACTCCCACGAAGAAAATTAAGGAAATTTTCCCAGATAAAGGTTGCAACATCCTGAAGCACCTCGTTCCAGTTAGTGTTGCCAAATGAGTGTTTGCTGTCCTCAACCTTTTGATATTACGCTATGGCTTCATTGACAGAGAGAGCAAAAGTCCTTTAACGGGAGTGATCGTGGCGTTTGGATGTCAGGCTTCCGCGACCCCCCCCCCCTCCGAAGAAACTGGAAAAGTATTTATTTATTCATTACAAATTATTGAAATCCAATTTACACTGTATGTTTACACTTGTGACTACATTAAAAATGTCGTACATGTGTTTATGTAGATACACCTGTCTGCAGAAAAAGAGAAGGTCAAGAATAAAGTGTGAAACTAAGACATGACAGACAATAATAAATATTAAGTGATATATAATAAATTAATATACAATACTAATCAAAATGAACTAAAAAATGTCTATACTTAAAGAGCATATGAGTACAAAAGCAATCACTCACAAGAGAACCGAGGATCCTGCGTTTTAGCCGGAACATCGCAAGTGGAAGGTAGCACTTCACTAGCGCTCTGCTTACCCTAACCAGAACGCAAAACAAATGTTCCAGCATTTGATCCAGGTAATGATAGTTTAATCCAAATAAATTTGATCCAGGAATTCTATAAATGTAGCAGAACCAAGTGATACAACACGATCTATAAAATACAAAAATACAACAATAAGCAACAGAGACTACCAAAGAGAAATTAGTACAAAATATAAATACTTTTTCCTGAATCCAATTGGCTGGAAGATTCACCTGAAATGGCAATGAAATCCCCTATCACGTGTTCTGCACGTACGTCTCCAGCAGGTGGAGAAGGGGTTGTAATTCAGAGGCATAGTAACATTGACACACACTACAAACTTCAATCAATTGTTTACATTTAACGAGGCTTTCGCACTCACCAGAACGTAAAATGTCGAAGCGCCCGGAAACACTCGTTCGTCTCACTTCCTCCCTCGATTGAGACAGCGCTGTGGCGCGCCAGGATTTGCAGAGCAGCTCCGTCACCCGCAAGAGATTGTCGCCACCAAGGAGCGGAGGAGTGTGAGTTTTCTTAGAACGATATGTCTCGTCGTAATGAACAACGCTGAACAACATGAGCAATTGGAGCGGGACGCTGAAGGAAAGCATCGTTGTTTGAATATTCATGTTGCGAATGTGGAAGTCAGCCGTAAAGCATGACCTGCATCAATGTCGCTGTTTCAGATCATAGGGCGCGAGATACGTGCAGAATATCAAGTACCAGACATCGTCCCTCCTAAGATATGCACCGATAATGACTTTCAAAAGTTCAAACCCTTACTTAGTAAATTAATTGCAGTTTAGAACCACTATAGCAAATAAATTAATTCCAGAGATCTCTAATCGTGCGGAACATTATTCTTTTGAGTATTGTCTTGACCTCGACAAAGAAAAAATGCATTATGCCACACTTACGAAATAAGCACAACGGAGAAATATTCTCGCGTAACACCCGAACAATATTTTAACGTGATGGAATGCATTAATAACTTTTAATAAGCTCAATAGCATTGTTAATTTCATTATCTTGTTTTGATGTAAATGGCAATTACAAAGCAGTATCTCCACAAGTCTGCAACGTTCTTGTTTAATTATCATATCATACGCTCCCTTATACGTGATAATAAGACCAAACAAGAAAGACCAGCAGATAATCGCCCTCATCAGCACCCTGGAACACACGACCTCGGACGACGGAGACACGCAGTCAACCATAACACATCAAAAGAAAAACACTCACGTGGGCTTCGAGGCGTAATTTTCATACTGCGTGGAGAGTCTGCAGAAAGTAAACAGCGTGGATAACAGTCGCCCTTGTTCCCGCAGAAGGCGGCAGCTCCCGTGCGGATCCACACGTCCCATTTCCTTTCACCAGCGCGCGGCTGCAGCAGCGGCGGCGGCGGCGGCGAGGACGAACGCGCCCGGGAACCAGCGAGTGCGGCGGAGAGCTTCGGGCCGGCGCACAAAGGAGACACAAAGGCCCGGCTAAATGGAGCGGAGGCGCCCCGGCCGGTACAAACAACGGCCGGTGCGCGGCAGACACGAACGGAGTGCTCCGCGCCGCCCCTCGCTCGCCCGGCGCCGGCGCTGCACTTAGCCGCGCCGAAATTCCATTTTTCTCGCCGCACGCGCTCGCCGCTCGCGGCGCCTCCGTCGGGTTGGATTCGTCTCTAACGCGCTTATTCCGTGGAAGTGGTGGTGTTGAACGATCCGGTCACAAGGGAAGAGGTGTTAATGATAGGTGAAATAGTGAATGATTAACTGGGAGAGTGAACCGCTGGAAGGTGACGGACAGAAAAAAAAGTGTTAGGAAATTGAGAGTAACAGTAAATAGAATGTGATAGGGGATCATCCCACACAAATTTCTCTCTTCTTTGAGTTAACGCCTTTAGACCGCCTTCTTTTTCGCTTCACGCACGTAGTAATAATGCTTGAGCCCAGTATTCACACGCAATAATGCTTGAGTCCTGTATTCAGAAGTGCCGAAATGTATTATTCAAAATGTCACTATACCAGCTTTGTATATCGTGCATACAGTCAAACTTGTCAACAACGGGCATTTTTTTACAATTGTTTTAAGGGGTAGCACTTTTTTTTAATACAGCGCTCGTAGGTGTTTGTTGATGTAAATGGGATATATTACACAGTATATTACCTTGAGCACAGTTTCAAAGACGATGCGGTATTCTGCAGAGAAAGCCTCGTTTTAATTTTCATCTTTGTCCCAATAATGCGTGTGTTAATTAGCGTTGTTCACGAGTAATTTTGCAATTCAATATTCCTAAATTAACAATGTAAGATAGAAATGTGAGACATTAAACACTTTATTTCCTGTGCATTTTATAAGTTCAAATTCATCATGAAGAATACTCTCTCCCGCTTACACTAAATATCAATTATTCTCTTGATTATTATGTTTGATCGTCGTCATGAACATCCAAGTTTATGAAATTTGGGAGATTAGATAATATGCTATTAATTCTATCTCTGGTTGTGAAAACCAACTAGAAACTTCTGAACATATTGACAAATAAGTTATTGCCCGGCAGGAAGTCGGTATGATTGAAGATCACCACGACAGGCGAAACACACGCTTATTGAAAAGTCCCTTTATTGTCCTAACTTTCCATGATGCTTTGCCACAAAGGTCGGGTCTACATAAGATGTATTGTATAGTCGACCGCTTTTCCAAACTTCTACTCAAAAAACAAAATTCTCTGGTGTGTAACGCGCATTTTGAGTTCAACAATGAACTTAAGCTCAGAAGGGTAAAAGCAGCATGTTCAGGCTAGAACAGAGATGACCATCAATCCGTCACTGTCAGTCTTCCTTGTTATCTTGAGTCTTGCGCCATTCAAAGTTAATTCCAAAGTTAATACATTAACAACATAAGTGCGAAATATCAGCCGTTATACACTGTATGAGTATAGCATGGAAGAGCATTTCGTAAGATTGAATTAATTATGAACAAACTTTTTGTCCACAAATAGCTATCCCGCGTAACTAAAGAATATCCTCTTTCAGAAGGTACTCATGCACTAGATCCAGCCCATTATTAATCTATTACCACTTAGCAAATTGCGTAGGAACATCATAGCATAGATAGAACATCATAGAACAACATAGAACATCATAGTCTCGCCACGTAAAATAAGGCCAATTCAATTCAATAGCACATCATAAACCCTTTCTAATTGGATATAGTAACATGCATCACCCTCCCGCATGTATTGAGAGACGCTCGCGTTCTGCTGAACCCAGGTCAGAGGAGCCCGCAAATGTATTAGTGTCTAATATATGGTCGAATATGCGTCCCATCGGAACGTAAAGGGTAACCGGCTATAAGCTGGATAAAAGCCTTACTAAAAAAATGAATGTTTTCTCGGATAAAAAGTAATGTTTTTCGGAACAACTCGATCTAACAGAATTTATTTTTCAGCGTTGGTGCGTAAATAACAGTTGGTGCTTAAACCTATAACAATAATACAAATTACAGTTATGAATTGTCGTCAATATGTTATACCTACTTGGAAAAGTGACAATACTAAAAAATACTACCAATTGTCACACCATAATAAAATATTTATACAATGTACCTCGTCTAGATGGATTTATTATGCGAATTACAAAAACTCATTTTAAATTATTTACAAACATTTTACAAAAGATTTATCAAATATTCTTAACTGTTGTTTCTTAGAAATTTTACATTGTTTAAATTTGAGATTTTTAAATCGAGATCTACAAATCATATTTCTTACAACTATATTAAAATATGCATCAAATTCTTAAGAAATTATTTTATTCCCTTTTACAAAATATGAAAACGTCTTTTGATATGGATTCAATTATAAAACCTTTAAAATAATTAGACACAAGGCAAATTAGGAAATATTTTTCTAAATGCGTGTGTAATTGTATTTCGTTCTTGATAAAAGGTTTTCCGACACTTTTATAACATTGGGAAAACAGGTATATTTGCATTGTTGATGAAGTGATTAAAACTTTTCATTCACTGGAAATTGGTCTATGTTTGTACTGTTCTGCAACTCTGAATACAAAAGCAGTTTGCAATCAAGAACAAAAGCGAGTTGAATGTAAAAGACCCACTTCAGGAATAACGTTTCGTTCTCTCGATTCTCATGTGAAATTAAACGAGTGTTACGTCCACCGTGATCACTTTTACGTTGTGTTTACATTTACGTGGAGAAACTTTTCATTTTTTTCTCAAACACGAAATTAAAAATATTATATCTTGGATATTTAAAGTCAAATAAACTTTAGATTATAGAGAATAAAAATTCAATTGATCTTAAACTTGCACGATGTTAGAAGTTATATTTCAAAATATTTAATTATATAATGAACCATTTATTTCATTTTTTTTATTTATATATTTTAATGAAATTAAAACAATTTAATAGTGTATATTTTCATATTGCACCGCACGAAAAGTAGGTATCATAAATGTTTAGTCTTATTATTTACAATTATTATCAATTTGTCTTATTATTTACTGTCCAAACCCTCGTCATCTAATCAAAAATAATAGAAAAGAATTAGATGAAGTATCGCGAGTTGTTAAGATATTTATGATCATTTTCTCTTAGAGAGGACAAGAAATTCTATCTGTAGTGTATCTCCGCACTGTCCAGCCCAATCGTACCCTGCATCCCACTGACAGAGCTCAACCCTGCTTCTCCTCATCCTGCCCTGCTCGGCCCCGCCCTTCCTCATCCGGCCCCACCCTTAGTAAAGACTATCATCCTTCCTAGCATCATCATTGCTGCAGACACGTGAAAACAGATGCATTGTGACATACTATCGGCAAACTTTCAGTGGCAGTGCGACCTTCAATTACATTACGTTTATCTGCGATATTGGAAAGTATTAAAATGATTAGGCAGAAATATATAGTTTTAGAAACGTTTAAACATATTTCGTGAATTTCCTTTCCGTTGTCGAAATATTTACAAAAAAATTGAAAGAGTACGTACTTAATTTCAGCTTTAAGGCGTGAGAGATGAATTTGGAGTTCTTTTTGGAAAATCTGAAATAGACGATACCTTTCTCTTCAGTAAGATCGAAATAAAACTGTGGATTTGTATCGATTATAATTTAGGTTACTTTTTTCATCTAATTATTTTCTTTTGAGTAAAGAATAATTAATAGACACAAGATTAAGTATTAATAGACAAAATATTCTACCTTCTAGTGAAAACACCATCGAAATCAGTTGAGCTGTTCCAGAGATTTGCCCGGACAAAGAGTAACACTATATATTACAAAGGTATAATTATATTTAAACATTAAGATTGTACTTAAGGCTAGTATTTAACGTCGCTTTCAATACGTAATAATCATCTGACCAATATAATTAGCAAAATTGTCTCTTAAAGATTATCAAAAGACATTATCCAAAGACCAATTTCACATACATAGATTATTTCTAAAATGATTATTTAAGTAATAAAATACTAAATGAAATAATTATTTTAGTAATTATATTTTAAGTTTGTTGACCGAAAATGTTCGAATTATTAATTTTTTGAAACTCTGGAAATGTTATGTCAAGCTTAAAAAACATAAACAAAAAAGTTTCAAGCTGTTCCAGATAAAAATTTTAAGCCACAAAAGTAAGTTTTATTCGTTACTTCCAAACTATCTGTTAATAATATCCGACCAAAAGATTTTCTTACAAAAATATAATGAAAAATGGTTTCTTTAAAAAAAGGAATTTTTCATTATTATAATTATTGTTGTTATATGTATTTCATATAATAACTGTCCATAAAAAATTGGGTCTTACAAAACATACTTTCAATACAATGTCTATTTTCTTAGAAGAAATTATATCAATTTATTATAATAATTTATTACTATAAAATATTTAAAACAAGTTTTGATTTATAGAGTTTCAGTCAATTCTAAGGGAGGCTGCAATTTCTCCCAAGTTATATAATTTCTAACCACATATGTTATCGTGAAGTGTATTATGCACCATTCTTAAATAGTTAGAATGACAAGTGTAATGCCTGTTTACGAGTTATTTTTACTTTTGTGAACAAGTGAGACTAACATAAATGTATTACACTACAAATCTCCATCGCCTTCAACGTGCTATTTGAAGTTATTAAAATTGTACTTTACCATTGCATTGTGATTCATTTTAACATTATATAATCATTTTATACTTAATGCGGCATACAATTTAGTCTTGCTTATTGTTTACATTCATTTCTAGAATTAATTTTCTTCCGACAGGGCCAAATATATTAATAAACTAAGGTTTGTGGATATTTTCGCGAGTGAAATAAACAACACATCAGTTAGTACTTCTCAATTTTTAAATGCCTCTAATAATATTTTCGTAGCGTTTTACTTTTCCTAATAATCATTATATCTGCATTCCGAAAACGTCCGAACTACTAAATGGAATTTAATGGAGTCTCGAATTTTGAAGCGTTCTCTGTTTGTCGTCTCGCAATTTA